CCGCGCCGCGCCGCGCCGACGCCCGCGCCCCTGGCGGCGGCTCGCGCAGGCGCGCCCCCCGCCCCCTCCCGCGGGGGAGAGACGATCTGACACCCCTCCCGGCAGTTACACGAATATCTTTCATCCTTTGTAAATAAGCTCTCAGCTCGTGGAAACTAAATTGAGTACTAGAGGAATGTTTTGCAGTTTTGTCATTATTTGAAATAAACTTCTAAGAAAAGAGAAGCAACTCCAATTATTCTGTGGTTATTAATAAATGAAAACAGCGCATTGGCCTGGGAAATCTTATCACGTGAAGGATTGTAATTTTATACAATTTACTTGCGCTCATTAGTCAGCATTCAGAAGAAACATAGCTTACCTTCCCAGTACTTTAATATCAAACCTGGCGTACCACAAGGATCCCCACTTTCTCCTACTCTTTTCAATATTTTCACCTTAGAAATCCCTCAGTCCAACGATACCTGCACAACTTTATACGCCGATGATACCGTCTTATTTGCTTCCAATCCCAATCTTTTAGACGCTATTTAATTCTCACAAGGAGCTCTACACTACGTTCGGAAATGTCAGAGAACTTAGACAAAACTTGAGCCCTTCAAAAGGAGAAGCGAAAATGATTGCCCTAAAACGCATGCCTTACATGACCTCACTAAAAATATCCAATAGTCTCATCTACTGAACTCAAACTCAAGAGTATTAAAAAACTCGGATTTATATTAGACCGACTGTTTTGAAAACCCCACATTCTCTTCCGTCTAAATCTAGCCTAAACCTCTCTCCGTAAACTATACCCTGTAATAAATAGGAAGTCCACCCTTCACACAAAAATTTCTCTATATCTTCACCTAGTCCTACTTCTTCCTTCTCTAACGTACGCTTTCCCCGTCTGGGGCTGCGCTGCTTGCTCGTTCATCAAACACCTACAAACCTTCCACAATACTATTGAGAATAGCTGTAGATGCTCCATGGTTTATTTCAAGCAAACAACTTCAAAAATAACTCAATTTTGCAACAATCTCCCAATATATTTCCAGAATATCAGTTAGGATCTAATCAAAACTATCTAATTTTCCTGCCAAGAACATTTTTCGTCTAGGTAAAACTTCCGACCCCCTACAAACAAGAATCTACTCCACACTTTCCAAGGACAAATTTTGCTCCCCTTAAATCAATATCATAACTCCTGCTTTTCTACTCTAAATTATATATAATAAAAGGTTTCCAAATAACTAAAAAGTTACTCCAATACCTCACTGCTAGATGGTTGAAGTCTCAGTGGGGATACCCTCCTTATTTGTAATAATTTGAAAAAATATTAAAATAAAATAAAAATAACTTACCTGAGCATATCAAAATGAAGAGAGTGATTAAGAAAATTCAGTATTGTACCTATCTCATTTTTATTCAAACACTCCTAATAATCCAAGGTCAAAGATATAAAACAAGCCAAAACGTATATGTTTAGATTCGTTTTCCACATTGTTACCCTTGTCAACGAAGTTGTCCAATCGCATCTGAACCGTTAACAGGAACATTTAGAAAGTAATCAAATGAGACGTGATCTTCTACCGCTCCTGGCATTTTGCGTCGCAGATATCAAACAAATGTGAAGTGGCCGTCACGCTAGCAGTTCTTCGCTACACTGACTTCAAAATGCCGGCCGATCCATGTGGAACTTGTGTTCGACGAAGGGGGTGTACGGCATGTTTTCTCATAGTCTCTCGTCTCCCCTTATTTCACCATTGCTCCTTTATTTTCCATTCAATATAATTTATCAATTAACATGTTAACTAACGTTGATATAGGATGCAAGACTCAGGTTCAGAAAACTGTAGTCAAACTACTATTCTAAACAGTATAGCACCAGCTCCCTTTCTTCTTTAATTGAAATTGTGTTCAATCATTTTCATCACCTGTTGTTGTCTTTCACGTACGCGAAACGAACAGGTAACAATCACATGCCGCTATCATTCCGGCACCTGATGAAAACTAATGGGCGAGGGCGAAGGACCTGAGATTTGTTGTAGTAGTTGTTGGTGTTGGATCTTCTTCCTGGGTCATTTCACAGCATCAGGGGATGCCTATTTCGATTATCCGCACTACATACCCACAATGTCCCTCATGGGGATACATAACCTTTTACACTATACACACTTGGGGGCTTCTCGTTCTATGATTAGCAGGCTCACAAGGCCTTCCGAGACATCACACATACATTAAATTCAAGGGACAAACAGCCATTCCCACGGCAGAACTCGGACCCGCGACCCTTCAGACCGAGGTGCTGAGTCGGAACACGCTTTAGCCACTTCGCCCGTCCGGGTCGGCAATAAATTGCAACACAATGTAAAAAAAATATTTATTTAAGATCTACATGTATTTTAGTAATAGCATTACAATCATATTCTGAAAGTTAATATTTTCAGTTTTTTAGGCAAGTCATATTTATTTTATGGCATGGTATATGTTGATCATTTTGTGTACTTACGGACCTTTCCGCACAGAGATGGCCACAACCCTTTTTTTCCTGAACTAGTTCAACTTTGCTAAGTTGCTCCCATTGCTAAAGTATTATTTACGTCGACAGATACTAAAATAAGACCGCAACGTGTTTATGGGTAGGCCTGACCCTAAGAGAATGCTTGAGATTTCACGAAAGAAAGGTTTTGATTTTTTAAGGCGGTTTCGATTTTTAATAAACATCTGAGAACGTTGGAAGTCCAAATTATCGCCAAGAGTTAAGAAATGATCTAATAGTAAAACGATGAACATAATTAAACGATGAAACAGTAAATTCTTACCTAACCAAAAGTTCAGAAAAACACGAGACTGTATCCGAAGTTGATCCTCCCCTCGCTTTGCAATGCGGCTGTTAAAAACGCGAGCCCCGTTTCCCGTTGCTGCAGCTCCGGCATCCACTTCGGACGTTGGGCCGAGCACAAACTTTAGAAACACGTCAGTTTAGAAGAAAACTGTCAGTTTCGGGTGAAACGCATAATCCGAATTTCTCCGCGCAGGCAAAAGCAGAGGCAGACACCATACGTCTTGACACGTTCCCCAGGCGATCATGCTTGTCAACGAAGCTGTCGAATAGATGAAATATTTAAAACATAAAATCGAAAAGCGTACGTTTTATGGAGTTTCTGATATCTCTGTATTAGTCAATAGTAGTAGTCTAACAGATAAAAATAATCCGGAAAAGGACATGGTGTGAAAAATTTTACAGGAATATCACAGACCCATTCCATATAGGTATTGAAAAGCAGCAGATTCGTGAAGTGAAACGATTAAATTTTCTCGCTGAATCTCGATCAACCGAATTCGTGAATTATCCTTTACTTCTGTAAAGTTTCCTTTCGATGTCGCACGCGAACCCAAACCGACAAAAAGATCACTTTTTGATACAATTGCATCTTGTAGCCATCGGCGGAGAAGGCTCAAGACATCAAATGATGTCACTCCAGTGCCACTGACCGGGAGGTACTCATGCTAGAGTTTGAGTCTCGACGGTGGCAGAATTGTAGAAACTAGCTATGACTTTTAGCCGCGGTCTAAAGGAGAATTCTATCGCCGGCTGCTCTGATCAGTAGTTTTCCGTGGTTACTCCGATCAACACCAGGCAAACGCCGGAGATGTTTCCTAACACTGATCGCACGCTATCTTTCCTTTCTCTTCTTTGTCCTCTCCTCATTCCTAACTTACAGAAACTTATGTAAAAAGTTCGAATCTTATGCTTCCGGGGCCAGAGTCATGTGAAGGCTCTGGACTGATCGGATGACCCCACGTTGACGGCAGTGATGTCTATTTCGACCATCATATCGTAGTATTCTCTTACTACTGTCTCGTATACGTAAGTATATATGGAGTAATAGGTACAGAAAGTTA